CGGCAGTATAGCTCCAGAACGTCCATGAGTTTTTAATCGGCAAACAGGAAGTATATAGTGATAAGCATTTGATCTGGCCACCGCATTGGAATCTAAGGAAAGTACATGAAATCACAGGAGCATATAATCGGTGTGGTAAACTCATTTTCTTGTGTTATCACAGCTGGCATCTTCAGGTTATTAAAAACCTTTCAAACCAGTCATCTTTAAAGAGAGCTAATTGTCATTATGGTCTTTATATGTTATTCCTCTTAGCACAAAGATGAAGAGTTATAAATAGGCACTAAAACCCAAATTTCTGTATACAACTTTCTTATTTCAAGTTCATGGAAAAATCACATTCTTCATGTCCTGGTTTCCTCATTATATGCACATGTCAATCAACACATAAAGAATAATTTCTTAACATTATACCCTGAGTTAGACTTTTAAAAATAGCTAATAATTCATTAGTTCCAGAAACTTTGGTTGTCCTTTGTGTGCAGGTGGCCCTACACATTGGACTATTCATGTGGTTTATATGCTGTCTCAGAATTGGGAAAAATGAACGTCAATTCTGATTTTTTTTTTTTTTATTTAGTGCAGGCTCTACAGGGTCTTACTACACAGATCAGACTCACAGTGATCCTCGTATTTTCAGCCTCCCAAGTGCTGGGATTACAGGCACATGCCACTATGCCCAGTCTCAACTGCCACCTCAGCATGCCCCAGGGGTAGGGCCGGCACAGAAGGCCTGGGATGGAACCTCTGACCCCACATCTGCCTAAGCAGGTGCTTTAATCTGCTGAACTATCTAGCTCACCAAGTTCTCCTACTGTTGGATGAGCACAGTCCCACTTATTCTTATTTTGGCTGGACAGTCCTGGGACTGTCCTGGGACATTCTAGAAATGTTTACACATTATGGTGCCTCTCACCTGTCTACCACCCAATCCCTCAAGGAGATTTTTACCAACTGAAGGAATAGGACTATCAGACTAAAACATATAAAAACCCCTCCCCCATGTTATCCTTGAAAAGAGAAATGAGTCTCCTAAAATGAAAGGTTGTGAAATATATAGATGAGATAAGAGGAAGGTTATGTTGGTATTAGCCTAGTGTTAATTATTATTTAAGATTTACTGAAAATTGGACTTTATATGAAATCTGCCCTAGGTCACAAAATTCATAGATAAAAATGACAGCAAATGAAGAGTTGGTACACATCAGTCTCCAATATTGTAGGATCTCTATCTTCCCTTTATATCTGGGAGTCTTCAGGGTCAATATTACATGTTCTTAATGTGTAAGCATTCAACCTGCAGTGACCCTTCCAGCCTCCGCTGGTCATACTGGTAAGAAGTAGCCCTGCCTCTGCTCTTCCATGGGCTCTGCTTCTCCTGTGAGCTGCTGATACTTTGGAACCTCAGGCTGTTGGAAACACACAACTCACTGACAGCATCCCTAAGCCCATGTCTTCTATGCTCATTTATGTTCTTAGCTAAGAGCTGGAATCCATGAGTGGGACAAATCTCACACTGAACTTGGGATCCTCTAGATGGTGAGCCCATTATCTCACCTTCCCTGACTTGAAAGGGCTCTCAGTCTCTCCTGTAAGTAACCACATCGAACTTTCCTCAGGCATTTCTGCATCCCAGAGGTGGTGAAGCTCAGACTTCAACAGAGGTCAGGGATATATATGTGCACATTTGACCTCCAGATTTTTTCCAGCACTAGATGATGAAATTAGTTTCTCTTCAAACATGTGCATAATCTCTGAATTCCAGTAGTTCAACTCAGGAAATTTCATGGATAATTCTGGTTCCACATTTGTAATCAGGTGATTGGATACTTTTTTTGGGTTAAATTTCAACTGTCTCTGTTTAAAAATTACTGCAGGTAGCAAAAGTTATATTTGACTAGACACATGATTTTTCTGCATGTATTGGTCAAAACATGCAATATCTGTACTTCAAGCACAGTAACTCTTTGGCCAGTAAGTAAGTACTATTTACTTGCCTGTGGTGCTAAAAAACTGTCACTGGATGGACTCCAGCCTAGAATTTCTATAAATGCTCTCCATTGCCTTTATACAGGATTATTTTATGCCCCACTACATTTTAATGTTATTGGTGCAGTTACAGTAGACATCGGTTACCAATTATGATAGTGTTTTACCAACTTTATATAGAAAGAAAAAGCCATTTGGTTAAAATTATCTACTAGATCTCAATTCCATTGCTATGGTACACTAGCTAATATCTTTCAAGATAAATTCTGGTAACAAATTAATAGGTAAATAATCTTAATAATTTGAAGATGAAATAACCCTTTGTTCTCAAATTTAAATACTTCATATTTTTAGTATGCCTGTGAGCTTATAATAGAAATGCATGGCAAATTCTAAGGCGGGTGTTTTCCTTACTTGAAGCAAAGAATTAAGCCCGGATGTAAATCAACAACCTTAGAAAGCAGACAGCTGTGGTTCTTGGCCTGCTATCGCTCTGGCCAGCTCCTTGGAATCATATTCAGCTCACTGCAAACCTTACTGTTTTTTTTTCCTATCTACTCCCTTCCAATTTTACAAGGATGACAATCATGATGATAACAAAACAATAATACAACATTATACTAACATTTCAGCAAGAACTTATTATTTCCATAAATAGCTTTTTTCTTATTTAACTTTCACTGATGTATAAAAATTGTGCATACTTAGAGGATACCATATGATATTTATATACATGTATACCAAATTTTATTAAAGTATAAAAACTTTAAGTATTTTTGATGGAAATATTTTTCCCATAATTTTATTGAGAAACAAATAGCAATGAGACAGTTTCAAACCAAATTGCTAGGACAGTTTCAATAATTCACACATTGCAAACATTCTTCCTAGTGGTTAACTGCTGTACAAGATGCAGACATGATATCCTATTTACAAACACTATTAGAACAAATCCCTCTATTCATTAAGAGAAAGTAACTATATATCTATCCTAACCATTTTGAATACACAGATACAAAATGGACATTCATCTGTATCATCTTTTTTTGTTTAGTTTCGTTATTTGAATATTATAGGTGTGTTAACTCAGCAAAATATTCTAAGAGTCCAGTAGTCCATAATAGTATTGGGTCTTCCGCTTGACTGGCAATGTCAGAAATTGTTGACCTGAGTTCCCTACAACTCAACATAACAGCATGGCTTTACTTCTTTTTTTTTTTTTTAAAATTTTTTTTTTATTTGTGTGTGTGTGTGTGTGTGTGTGTGTGTGTGTGTCTGCATGTGTGTGTGCCAGCTCAGCCCACCAGGGGGCGGGGCTGGCTGGCATGTGGTGCTGGGGGATTGAACTGCAGTCCCTGTGCTTTGCTAAGCTTGTTCTAAGTAGGTGCTTTAGACCACTGAGCCATCTCACCAGCCCATGGCTTTACTTCTTATACTTCGTTTTTTGATGGAAATATTGACAAAATTTATATATATTAAGTAAAAGTTATTTAAAGCACATAAAATAATTATATTATCACAATTAATTGTTTTGAGTTCCAGCACACTGACGCCACTTGGATTTATTTGGTCATTCCTTCATTCAGTCATTCATTTAGCCAACCAACAAGTATTCACTGTGTTACTCTGTTCCAAGGACCATAAAAGACAGCAGATGTGAATGCAATATACAAGAAGCCCTGCTCTAGTGGAGCTCATATTCTAGTTTCTATGCAAATATGTTCCTCAAATTTAATGTGTTGGGACTTTTGTCCCTGATGCAACTATGTTGGAAAGGATGACATCCAGGAGGTTCCTGGTCAAGAGGGCTCTGCCTTCATGAACGGATTAGCCCGTTCCTGGTTGCGGCTGGTCACAAGAGTGGTTCTGTGAGAGCAGCACCCTGGGCATGCTTGGCATGCTCGCTCTGGCTGCCACGCTACCACGCAGCAGGAAGGTCCGCCCCAGAGGTTGCGCAGGAGCCAGAGCCGTGCTCTTGGGTTTGTCAGGCTCCAGAACCGTAAGCTAAATAAACTTTGACTCCCTATAAATTCTCCAGTTTGGGATATTTTGTTGCAGTAACAGAAAACAGAGGAAAAGAGACAGGCTCTGACTGCTGTTTCCTTCCTCTGATGTCAGTGGTCGCCCCCATCATCTCTCTTTCTGGTCTGGGCTTCCACTGCAGGTCTTTTCATATAACTTGACTTCAGTGATCCAGTTAACAAGCTTAAACTCTCTGCTATTTCTTTTCTAGGAAGATGTATGTACTTCTGTGCAAATGAAATGCTTGGCAGAATAGCTATCGTCAACTGGTACTGTATGCTGACATTATAATACAAAACATGACCTTATGCAGGCACCAACATTTTGAAAGGGAGGGAAGTGAATTTCCTTATATTACATTTTTACTATTGCTGAAACCTACTTGGTCAGTGTGCAGGGAGATAAACATGAATTCTGAACAGCATTTAAGGAAACAGTGGTGACTCACTGATAAAAATGGGTATCTAAGACTCATTCACAGACTCATCAGACATTGGAGCCACGAGGTCACCCTGAGCCATGCAGTGGCACGGTGGTTAAGAGCAGCACCGGGGCCAGGCGTCTACTGCCCTCAGTGTGAGTTTGGCTGACTGCACAGCATTGGCATCCCTCAGCTTACTTACCCATAAAACAGTAGTACAATATTTCACAGCATTGTAAGGGTTAGGTGAGTTAGTGCAGGTAGTGTACCTCATATTGTCCCTGGCTCACAGTAAAGGGTTGGTAAATGTTAGCTATTGTGATCTCAGTCTCCCAATTTTTTTCTGATGTAGTTAGTGCTTACCTAGTGAACAGGAAGACATGCTGAGTCATTTAAGGGGTATGAAAGGGCTCACTCTTTCCCTCTGAAATTTTAAAACCCAAGAACACTGTCCAGCTTTACTGTCCCCACTTCCACAGAGCAGGACTACAGAGGGAAGTACAGACAGGTCAGGCATCCAGGCCAACTTTAATTGCACGCTCTAATAGTACGACAACTTCCTCCTTACCTTAAACTTGTCAACTTCAGCTTTTGAACATGTCGCGTGGTATGACAGTACCTGATGCAGAACAAAAGAAAAGAGCTTCAATAACAAAATGTTAGGATATTTTCTGAAGTTCTCCTGGATTAGAAACATACCTTGCTCATGTATATCACCTTGATGTAACAGTGGAGTTAAAAAATGATTTCTTCCTTTTTATTAGTATGTTTATAATACACAATAAATACATTCATCATGAAGTGATACATATACATGTACGGAGAAATAAAAGGATCAAAGAGAAAAAAAGCTGCAGTTCTCAAATGATGTGGATTCTTGGCTTGTGAAATGCTCTAAATTTAGAAGGTTTTGTGAGTGTGTGTCTCTGTGTATGTGTGTGTCCTGTACCAGATACTGTATGTTATTATTATTAGTAGTAGTAGTATTAAATTTATGTATTTGGTACAGGGTCTCACTATGCAGCTCGGACTTGCAGTGATCCTCCTGTCTCAGCCTCCCCAGCAGTGGGATTACAGGCATGCGCCACCATTCCTGGTTTTGGTAGCTGGCTCAGTGTAGGTCAGCACAGCATTTGGTATGGGGCACTGAACAAGATCCCTGCACTTGCAAGGCAGGCGCTTCGACTGCTGAGCTATCCCCAGCCCTGATGCTGTATATTATTCATTCAACTTTTATCCTCTGCCTATTCTCACTTGCCTGCTTTTCTTACATAGAAAAGATTGTATTCTATATTTGCTGGCCATTCTGTAAGAGGATTGTATTCCCTTGCCCTATGGATATCAGTCAAGGCATGTGACTTGCTTTGACCCATAGAGCATGGGAGAAAATGACAGATATACCCCCTTTGGGGGTATATCTGTTTTATTTTTAAAAAAGAGAACAAAAATGTAAATTTTCCTCTCTTTGCTTCTTTTTCCTTGGTTTTCTCCCTTTTCACTTTGGAAAAATTCCCCAAAATGTTGCCCGGAGAGACATGTTCTTGTTCTCTGAGGTTTAGTTGTTAAAAATGAAGCTGTTTTCTTAACCAGGTGCAGTGGCATATGCCAGTGACTGTAGCCACCGGGGAGGCTAAGGCAGAGAGGTCGTGGGCTGGAGACCACATGAGAACTTAGTCACTTAGCAAGACCTTGTCTCATGAAAAGGGGTGAGGATTGGGGATATAGCTCAACATGGAGGTCCTGTGTTCAACCTTTAGTGCGGTAACAAAAGAGTGATTATTATTATTATTATTTTATTTAGTACAAGGTCTCCAGGGTCTCACTACGTAGATCAGACTAATAGTGATTCTCCTGTTTACAGCCTCCGAAGTGCTGGGACTGCAGGTGCATGTCACCATGCCCAGTCTCAATCTGTCTCAGCATGTCCTGGAGACAGGTCTGGCACGGCATGCAGGGGATTGAACCCTGGCTGCTGTGCTCTGCCTAAGCAGGCGCTTTAGTCTGCTGAGCTATCTGGGTGGCTCTAAGACTGATTTCCTATTGGGAAAAATGTTAACCACAACAATAGTCTGTAAGGAGTGCTTGTACTTCACGAGGTTCTTGGGAGGATTAAATACAATAGCACACGTTAAATACCTGGCACTTACTCAACTTCTATTTATTATGTTAATAGCTAATTAAAATTGTCCCATATATGTATTTGGCATAGTATCATCATATGATCTTCATGGACCCATAATTAGTAATAAGTATTTTCAATACAAGAATAACTAGATTTTGTTTTTTTAGTTCTATTTTATTATGATAAACCCTAATTTGGCTGTCATCCTACTGTTTCCAAACCTTTTTTTGCAGATTCAACCCAAAACTTATCTTTACTCCCCAAACAAAACAAAACACACACACATAGTCTCTGTCTCCTCCGTCTCTGTCTCTGTCTCTCTCCCTCCTCTCTCTCCCTCCTCTCTGTCCCTCCTCTCTCTCTCTCT